TCTTCTTCTTCTTCTTCTTATCTAAACGCCTAACCATCACTATTTTAATAATGTTTTAAAAGGTTTACTCTGTGTGCTCTATGTGAGTTCTCATTTTAACATTGGAAAAAGACAAGATGCAGGTACTATTGCATTTGTTTGTGGAAAAAAAAAACAGGGTGAAGACGACACGCAAAATGAATTGTTTTTTGTAATTAACATTACCAAATAATTTCTCAAATTTCACTCTAACAAAGCAGTGAGAAAATCAGAGAGTAACAATGATGACAAGATTAATAAACAGTATACTGTACTTATTTATTCCAGAGTTTTGCAACCCAGGGAGATTAACCAAGCGCACACAGAACAATGAAACTGGGAAACTGGGTAACTGGAATGCGTTATGCAATGACATTGCAGTTGTCTTCAACCAGCTACAGAAACAGCTTATAGTTTTCCCTAAATAATTTGGAAGAATAAGCGAGGACAGACTTTAACTTGGATGTCCAATATGGGCCACATTTACAGAATTTATAGATCAGTGTTGCAGTACTCAGGGTCCCACTGCGTGTGTGCATGCGTGTAAGGCAATGAGAATCCACTAGGTGTCTCAGTGTGTTTATATTATGAGCTTGTATCAGTGTGCAAGTGCGACTTCCTTCACAAATCACGACTCCTTTACAACCATCCCACCAGGACTGTCTTCTCTTTTCCTCCCCATTGCTCTTTATTTCTTTCATTCTCTTCTTCCCTTCCCTTTGCGCCCATTTTTTCACCTTCTCTTCTTTTTGCTTCTTTTCCTCTCCTCTTCTCCCTTCGCTCCTCTCTTTTCTTCTCCCTTTCCTTCCACAGATTACTTCAGTTAAATATTACTACTGCCACATTTTCTTCCATTTGTTCTCTTTCTCAGTGAAAAACAGACACACAGAGGTAGATTAAGAAGAAAAGCATAGAAGGGAGAGAAAAAAGCTGAAAGAAATAGCAGGTGAGAGAAAGCCTGATGAGAAAGATTAAGGGGGGGGGGGGAGAAACACAACTAGAAAGAAAAGCAGGACTAGAAAGACAGCATAGGTCAAAGAGCGTTAGAGAAAAGATAAGGGCAAGAGAGCGTTAGAGAGAGAGTAGTTAATGTGTGTGTGTGAGAGAGCGAGAGGGATGGAGGGAGAAAAGGAGGGATAGAGGGAGGAGGGGTTTAATCCTGCCTGGATTATGGTATAAACTGGTGCCGGAGAGCAGGAAGAGATATGCTGGAGAAAGAGAGAGAGAGAGAGAGAGAGAGAGAGAGGGAGAGAGGAAGTCCCAGTATCCCTCCATCCATCATTCCATCTATCTTACTCTCCATCCGGTAGCGTATTCGTGTCCCAGAGCTGCATGAATTTGGTTTGGATCCACCGGGATGTGAGGTCAGCAGAAAGGAGCCATTCAGGAAAAAGGACAGCAGCAGAAAAACCTGGAGTGTCTTGGGAATATGGAAATGTGTGTGTCCTTGGGAATACTGCATGATAACAAGGACTGAACTCTTGCGAAGACAGTTTTTAGAGTTTTTAGAGTCTTTCAACGCTCTCCTTTTTTTGCCCGGCATCCTGTAGATCCAGGAGAGGGAGCATGGAGGAGAGAAGTGGATGATGGGAGGTGTAGGAATAGGATTAAGAGGTGTAGGAATATGGCGAGACTCCGTTGTGACTCCTGGTGTGCAGAAGTGACCTTTGACACCGGAGAAACAACCTTTCTAGACTCTGTTGTATGCCGGGGCAACCAGCTGAGCTGACATCAAATCATCAATCAGACACTTTTTATTTGTTATTAGTCATATCTGAACTTTCTTTCCAGACCCACACGTCTCAAACGGAATGGTTTTAAAGCTCTCAACCACATGACATAGTGAGTAATCTTCAGTGCCATTCTGTCTATAATGATTTGGGGAAGTATTTTAATCTTCCCGCAACCCACTTTTGGGCTCCAGCTTGTGTTTCTTCTTCTCTAAATTAGCATCCTGCATTTCTGGACAGCAGTTGTGATTGTTCCAATCTTGTGTCTTTACAGGGAAAGCAGCTCAAGGACTGTGGCTTCTCACTGTCATTCATTGAAAGTTTTAAAATATGTGACTGCTTGTAGGATGACATACTTTCTCTGTAGTTGGATGTTGTGTCTGAGCTTTCTGGATCCTTTGCACTTCCAGAGCAGGCCTCAGACTGTCACAGATTCTCCACATGTCACTATGGATTCATGTGTATTTTAGACTGCTCAGTCACAAAGCCTGCCTCTCTTCAACTCTCTGGAGAGTTTCAAGATTTGAGCTATACGCATGTCTTTGAGAAATCTGTGGATTGGATTTTTACATTTTTGTTACAATTACTTTACCAGGCAAGTTGACAAAAAGTGTTTATGTGCTGTGTGTGTTAGATTCTCCCTTTAATTTAAATAAATAGTGTCCTTATGGTATGAAATTGTGCCCAAATTTGTCTTTAAACCTCACGCAGGCTGTTGCTCTTGTCACTCCAATGCAGAACAAAGAATAATTGTTTGAGTTGGTCTGTGAATTTTTTATCAATTTATACAAGTAGCATCCTTGCAGATCTCTGAATGTTCACAGATTGTACTCAAGCTATTATCTGGGCTTTACTCCCATGGACACAACAGCCATCAGCTACTCATTGCAATTTTAACGCTTCCCTCTTTCTATGTTTGCACTGTGACCTAAGCACCTCTAATATCACTTTGCACTGTCCTAATTTCATCCTATTTCTCTTGGAGCCAGTGTGCAACAATTGCTGGACTGGTGCAGATCGTAGCAGCTGCAAGGATGAACCGCTGGAGCTCGGGAAATGCTGGGAATGCCAGTAAATCAGACAGAAGTGGGCCGCGCAGAGGGAGGCTGATGATGCTGCTGTGGATTATCCTCTCCAGCTCGCTGTGCCTGATGGTCGACGGACAGATGAAGATCTCACCAGAAACGTGAGTACGGTTGCACAGAACAGCCTGACACAGACTTTTTACCCCCAGGGACTGAAGACCATCAGGGGGAACCATTTCAGTCGGATCAAGTTCTGATGCACAAATACAGATCATGCAGGTTTTGTGAGACCTCACTCAATAAAACTTCATTCATATTAATTAATATTTGATCTCATAGATATATTCATCTCAAGGATCTTAACTTGAGTAACAAAAGTTTGATCAAGGTGTAAAAAAAAACAGCAAATAAATACTCTCCTTCACTGTATTTGCACCTACACTTTCATCCCTACAATATACTGTATTTAACATGGAATAAAGGAAAATCTGCATAGCCAGAGATGACCATAAACGTCGTGCTTTATGAAGACATTACATCATTAATTGTACTAGGTCATTTCCCTGTGGACACCCTAGCAGGTCTACATGCAGCGTTTTCCTTCTTTAAGCCACCCGTCAGATGGATGAGTCAATAGTGTTCTTTCGATTTTGGCTGGTTACTCCACACAGACACATATGGGCCATATGGGAACCTGTGGGGTATAACTGACAGCCAAACCATCCTACAGCCTCTCTGCAGCCACAGCCAAACAAGTTAAAACTGACGTATTCATTTGGCCAATTCTCCTAATAATAGATATAATAAATGTAGAGATATTAATAATAAAAACAAAGTTTAACAAAAATAGATATGGTGGTGATTATGTTTCCTTTTTGTTTTGTTTTGTTATCCACCAATTTTTAAATTTTTAGACCAATTGGGAATTTGCACATAATAAATTGGGACGAATAGTGTTGCACTTATTACATGACTGAGAACTTCCTTTCAGTACACTGATATTACCTTTTTTAGCCATGCGTGGATGGAAACGTTGACTAATCCACCACATTAGTCCTGACTGAAATATCTTGACAACTGTTGAATGTATTGCCATGGAATTGGGTACAGATATTCATGATTCCCACACGACAAAGTCTACTGGCTTTGAGTGAAATGTCTCAAGAATTATTGACTGGATTACCATGAAATTTAGGACAGACGTTCATGTTCCCCTCAGGTTGAATTCTAATCACTTCAAAATGTCAGTTTGCCCAGCACTTTGGTTAATGTCCAAATAACCTACCTGCACAAAAAATAACATTCCCATATATTTTGTGTTTAGTACGAAGTAGCATGCTGAACTAAGATGATTAATATAGTAAACATTAGCATGTTAGCATTGTCATTGTTAGCATGCCAATGTTAACGTTCAGTGTTTTCAGTGACACCCTCACAGAGCTGTCCTGTTTATATGTCATTTGACTGAATGTACAGTGAAAGATTGCACTGCATTTGACATATTGTCTATCCTTGAATAGTCTCCCCGCACAACAGCAGGAAATAATAATGAATAAACAGACTCACTGCTTAAATTCACAATATGTCAAATAGGAAATTGCGCAGTTTGGTGTGTGTGATCTACTGGGAGCAGTGCTGATTGTGAAGTCTGACAGCAGCAGGAAGGAAGGAAGGACCTGTGGTATCTCTCCTTCACACACTGCAGGAGGAGCAGCCTGTCACTGAAGGAGCTGCCCAGTGCTGTCAGAATGTCCTGCATGGGGTGGGACATGTTCTTCAGCAGGGATGATAAGCCATCACTCTCCTTTCTCACAACCTCCTGGGTTGAGGGGCTATCCCAGTACAGAGCTGGCCTTATTAACCCGCTTGTAAAGTCTCTTCCTGTCAGCAGTCGAGATGCTGCTGCCCCAGTTAAATCTGAAATTAATATTATCACCCCTCTTCTGTGTCTTTGTTTATATGAAATGAAACCATATTTTTAATTGTTCATATTCTACCTGGGTGGGTGGTAAGTGGGTGTCTTGTAGGAATATTATTTGTACTTTTTCAATGTTTCCTCCCAGTTGTATTTAGACAATTCACATTCAGCGACAATATCTTCAGTGCTAATCTGCAATTAATCACTCAGCATTTCCCAAATACAAATATGGCTTTTGCACAATGGATTTATAACTCATAATGCTTAATCTGTTTTATTTTCACACCAGCGTTCACATTTCTTTTGGGAACAAAAACACTGCGTTTGTTTGCTCTCCAAAAGCCAGACAGAGCTCTTTTCCCTGAGCAGTTTTCAAACCTCCTGCTGACTAAAAACAGTAACAGATCGATACAGCGCTGTCAGTCCACAATAGCCTATTAACTGTGTGGTGGTGTGTGTGTATGTGTGTGAAAGTGGAAGGGGCTGAGAGGGACAGAAAAACTCACTGCATTTTATTGCTATACTTGCACTGGCTGGATATTTGTGTTTGTATGTGTGTGTGTCAGTGTCCGTACATACTTTAACATATTTGGTTAATCGAATTCATGTCCAGTAGATTTATCACCCCAAACCATATCAGCAACTGTTGATTCTGCAGTTTCAGGATACCTTTTGTTTTTTGTGTGAGTTTTGTACTTACGCAGCTCACAGAGTGTCTGCTGTCACTGGGCAGGCTGATGTGACTGAGGAAGATTAAAGCTCTGGGGACAGCAGAGTTCAGCAGGCCAACACAGGCCACTGAGCTCTGCCTAAGATTTGGCAGCAGGGCCCCTCTGGCTCTGGAAGTTAGCGGGCCATGACCGGAACATTTCAGGCCAAGAAAGTCAAATCTTTAGCCTCCGATGGAACATTGCTCTGCTGCCACGAGGAAACAAGATAACTGGTATTAAATACTAACCAAAGATATCAACAGCAGTGACACATTGTTTAAGCAACAACTTTTGCTCACAGTACAACACTCCACCATAAAAGGATGTGATTCCCTCTCAGATGAAAATGAGATTTTGTCATTTTTCTATGTCAGAAAATTAGGCAAAGGCTTGGTCAGTTAAAGGAAATGTGTTTTTTTCAGTTTCACACTGAGCAGCTGCACTTTGCCCTTTTAGGGTAGAGAGTTAATTACTGTGCTTGACCCTGTGCCTGCCTAAGGCTCTGTGTTAATCTGCCCTTGCTTGGCTTGTACAGTGGTGCTTTAGCCCAGGCCAACAGCATACAGTCTGAATGCATTACAGGGAGAGTGCATTTTGTAACTACTTTAAAACTGTCAATGGAGCATGTGATAGCCCTGAACAACAGAAAAATATTTACAGTACACTCAATGTTATCATTCCTCTTATTTTAGAATGAACCCACACTCACATTTCTGAATAAACCTATCAACAAGTCAACAAATTATAGCAACAGCAATAGCAATTTTTTGAGGACAGAGGCTGGCAGGCTAGCCATGATAACCCTGCCTGCTAACTAGCATCGGGCCGGCTGACTCCCCATAGGTTGAGCCATCTGTCACATCCTGTCTACTCTCTAACCTCTATTACCTCACCTCGGCTGCATTCACATGCAGGATTTGTAGAATTACTGCATGTTATTGAGCACAGAGTCACCTCTTGACCTGGTAGACTGCCATCTTTTACTGTCACCTTAACTGTAATCTGTTTTAATCTGTTTTTGGTTTTCAGGTAATTCAGGGTAACCTCTTAACATGATTAGCTGCCTATGTTCATGGTCACCTTCAATACAGACAGTCTTATTAGTCCTTGATTGATACAAGTGCATTAATTTAGACGAAGAGGATTTAGAAACAGGCCTTATCTTTTTCTCAAATTAGCTGTTCAGCATTTCTCAAGGCATTGTGTTGACCTGAGGGAAATGTGGTTCTTTTGAGTGCATTTTATTCAGTTTATTTCAATTTGAACTATTTTTTTAATTAGAAAGGCGACATAGCTGTTCAGTATGTAACTAACAAGTTTATATTTAAAAATGTCAGTAATTTAATTGATTCTAATAAGCAGTCCTTTATAAAGGGTTTATAAGTTATATAATGAATGGTCTTAAATCATTTCTAATGCTTTATAGATTGTCTTTTTGGTCACCACAACATGAAAAAAACAGATTGAAACATATATCACTTACCTTCCAGATAAATACCAGCATTTGTAATTGCATTACTACCAAATAGAAACTGTGAATTTTTTACAACTGGGCAACCTTAAGTATGTTCTTATTAATGGCTTGTAACAGATTTATAATACATTAGCGACATTTATAGACAGAAGTACATTTATAAAGCCATTAGTCATGGCTTATAAACCCTATCTTAATGCCCCTCGTGCCTTATGTAAAGTCCTT